GAAAAATATATTAAAAGAGATAACTAGTTTTTCTYAAAAAATGTAAACTTATCCAATTGATTAAAATGAAAACTGTGGCTACATTTTATTATAGTATATAATATGTTGTATAATGTTACCTAAAGCTAAACATAAAAGCAATTACTGTAAAATATGGTCCATATATACAATAATAAGAGTATTGGTACTGAGATAAAACGTTGAATATATATCTCCAAGAGAGTATTATAATGGTGAGATATTATATTAAATTTAAAAGCAATGATGAAACCTTAGCATTTAAAAAACTATTTTGAAGATTTGGTGTCTCGCCATCGATACACTTTCATTTGATGCTTTTTATTGTTTTTCTTTAAGACATATAATAAGAGAATGTATTGGATAATCTTTTTTTCAATCTATAATTATAATTAAACATTTTATAAGGGTCTTCTTCAGGAAAAAATAAATATTTTTTTTTTTCCTTTTAGTGGTTTTAACGTATTCYGTGTTTCTTAGATACCCATATTTAATTTATGTGACATACAATTTTCTTACACGGAAGTACAATAAACGTTATATTTATAGAACTATACATAATTTTACTATATTGAATGATACTTAAATAATACTTTTATATTTTTGAGAAATAAGTACCTTCAAATTTTTATTAAATTATGCGAATAAAATAAGACATTTTTCTTTTAGTTTGATTATATATTTAACTAAACTCAAAAAAAAAATAATAATAATAATAAGATTATATTACATAAATMTGTTAAATATTTCAATTTCGTAAACTTTATTGATTGTTAAATAATACACAAATCCTAAGAATTATAAATTTTGATTATTATACATAGCTTTTCATTATTTTTTTAATCAAAGCACAAGTAAGTATGATAATTACTAAATAATAAAAATACCAGAATATTAATAATTATTTTTATTGGAAATATAGAAAATGAAATATTTTAGTTATTTTAAAATGATTTTTCCATCTATCATTTTTTTTTCCAAAACATTTTAGTTTAGTCATATTTTTTCTCAGATCAATTTATTTGATACTTTTCAGCCAAGTTCATTAATTTTACTAATACAAATTGAGTTATTTAATTTTTCTACGAATTTAAATTACAGTTGCAACACTTAATCAAGAGTAATGTATTTTTAATTATATTMTATGGCTTTTATTTCCAATAAAAGATTTTAAATAGAAATAAATTAGAGTACTTATAACAGCCTTTCATTTCACTTTGATGACTGTTCTTTGTATATTAAGATTAATAGCTTTTTGTTCATGTATTAAATKTATAAAATAATACATTGTCTTATTATTAATGTCCCACGCTCCCACCCATTGTACCATCTAGAATATTGATATTTCATAAACCACTGAAATGATCAGATACGAAATTAAAGACAGATAAATTAATTACTATAGGACCATCTTCAGTTTTKATAGAATATTAAATACGAGTACAAGACATTTGTAAGTATAACAGCTACTATCCACTAAAAGCATAATAATATAAATTATAATATTATGTTGGCTGTGATTATATTTCTGTGTATTAGAAACTAACTTTAGATGTTAATATTTATTATGTATTTTATTCYTCGACAGTGGTTTTTTGATATTTTTTATAAAATACATTAGTACATTGGTATAGAAGATTAATAATTTTAAATTAAATATACTAAAGATAAAAAATTTGTCCAGAAAACATCCAAAATTTATATTTACTTATATAGCAGTATTTATGTCTTTACATTTTGACAAGATATTGAATAAGTAAAATCTTAACTATTTAAAAAAAAATAATCGAAAGTACGTCTAGATTTATTGAACTGTACAACTCTGCTTTTGGCGTTTTGTATAATATGTATTGTATCCCGGACTCTTGTATGAACACGAGTTGTTCGTATATAATAGATATGCGTTTTTTTCTGAATTTGGTACACGATTATATTATAAAGCTGCCTGAAAACGAGTTGTTGAAATTTAAAATTTAAATTACCTACCTATTCGTTATGAATAAAACAAAAATAATAAAAATGTATATCGACAGTCGACGTTTGCTGGGGTTCCGGTTAATGTAGAAGTGCTAAGCAATTGGTCAAAATTTGAGCAGCAATAGATAATAATATGTTATTGTTATGTGCGAAAGCATGGATGGTTCGGCTGTGAAAAGATAGTGTAGTATATGCATGTATGTAACAGATATACGATGGTACTCCAATGTCTGATATAAAATAATGATATATTATATTATATGTGAGAAAGGGAATACGAAAAACCACACAAATAGCATAAGACACACTTAAAAAAATTGCAATACAATGGGAAAAATAGAAAATGCTCGAAGTTACGATATTTACATCGGAAACTGAATCATTGTAAACAGACAGAAAACCATTTGCATACGGTTTTCAGACCGTAGGTATCCTACGTTAGCAACAATTTGCTACCATATTATTGAGCCAAAAAATAACTATATCCCTTAAAATATTTTTTAAATTTATTTTAGTGAGAATGTTTACAAAAGTGATTAGAAAATGATTTTATCGTTACAACATAATATTCAAAAACCATAACTAATTTCTTATCTAATTAAAATCAAAACCTCTATTTTAAACATGAATAGTTCAGATTTTAATCGATATAAAAAATTAAAAAATAGGTACAATGCGTTGRTATACTTGATATTATTTATACAACTCCGTCCTAAAAATAAAAAGCAGAAATGGTATTCCAAGCATAATATATCTAATTATTCTAACATAGCTTTTATATATTGTATTGCAGGTAGTTAATTATATATTTTGTACATATTATGCGTTTTGTCTAACGTTTAATATACTATTACTAATAGTTGATTTATTTGGGCTAGATAACTCGTTTAATTTTGTGAGCGTGTGACTTTTATGTAAGTTTTTCAAAGAATCATTACCAGTGAGTCACGTGAACATAAATTGAGTATTATTTTATCCCACATAAAACATAGAACGATGCGATTCACATTTAATTGTGTTATTTCCTCACTGCAGCGATGGCGAACAGCCAACGTTATAATTATTATTTTTAAATTGCTGTTTACACGAATTATTTACATTTAAATAAAAAATAAATATTACATTAGGTTTGACGAAAACTTCGAGATAATAATATTATTAYGATTAAACGAACCAAAAAAATAAATATATAATAATTACATTTTAGTTGACGTCCAATGAAAATAATATTATTTCGGGAACTACAGATAATTATTAGCTTGTAATGAAATTTCTTTTTATTCGGTTATCTAGAAATGAATTTTTATTTTTACCACGATTTAATACTCTAGAATTCTTATGCGTTTGGAATTTATTTACAGTGATAATCGTTATTAATTTTTTAGTCTTGCTCTTATTTTTATGTCATACAATTTTTATGTTTAAAAATTTACATTCAGATTAGAGTGAAAAAAAAACATAACAATATAAAGAAGTTGCGCACTACAGTTTTGTAAATAATTCAACAAAAACTACACGGTGTTGTTATATATAATTTTAACATAATATATGTGAACACATTCAGTCGCGGGTTGGTAAAATTTATACATACATAATATAATTTTAATTATGCAATTTTTTTTCGTTTGTGTGTATATTGTATAGTATGTTACAGTAGTTTGAATATAATATTCTTTTCCCTAGAAAAACGTTTTTGGACTTATCGTGTCTGAAAACCCGCAATGGTATACGCGTATATTATGGTGCGTATATTATTATTATTGTATGGAAACGTTTGACGGGGCGTGGGTTAAAAAAGTTACTCGCTCGTTTTGAGGCCTTACTATAAATCAATCTTCGAACGATATTTTTGCAAAAATAAGTTGTCAGAAGAACGCGGTATATTGTATAATAATATACAGTGCATTATAATAACGTAACGAAGTGCGTCTTCTTTCTCCACACCAACAAAAAACCTGTCTCTCATCGACATCTTTGGATTTTTGTTTTTAAACGTTTTGAATAGATATTTCAAACATTTAATATTATTATTGACGCGTGGAAAAAAACTGTATACATAACCCATAATACGCCTATCACACGCATTACAGTATAATAATATGACTATTGACTAAACTATGCCACTGTCATTCGAAATCTCAGAGGTTTATACGAAGACTAAGTGAAAACTTTTTATCGTGGCTGGTTCACTATAATAATATTACAATACTATTTATTATTTTTTATTCAATTATGAACACAATTAAAGAGTAGGAAGAATACTTTTGGTATGTAAGTTAATTATATTTAAAACATGGGTATGTTGATGTACCACAGAGCCATTGAGGTTCTTAAAATTCTGTGGAGTGGCTGATTTTTTAATTTTTCTCGAATAAAAAGATATACATGTTTAACGATTCTAGCATAATGGACCTTGATAATAAGATAAGAATAATATTACTCGACCTGAGAGGTGTCGCTAAATACGTACGAGAGATCAGTCAGATCGACTGCGTTATATCACTACCTACTCCAGTTTGTACAAAGTTATTAAAGTAAAATCATCACGTCGTATCTGATTTAAATAATTTATTTTGTACTACACGTTTTTCATATKGTTCTATACAGTGACCACCGCCGGTAGTGTCGTCAGTGATCTGTCGAAAGTAAACACGTAATACTAATATATTTGTGGTAATTTAAAATGTCAAATCATAACAAGGCGAATATTGTACATACAAGTATCGAGCAAAAAATGCATACCTACATATCATAYCAAATATAAATATAGTTTCAATGTCGTTRTAAATGTTGATCGATTCAGTTTTTTACATAATCAACAGGTTCGYGATAACAATAATTTTATTGGTGACAGTTTTTGTCGATTCACCAATACAGATCAGTTCTACTTACATAATATATGTATATCGCTGTCTGCAGATCACTGACACATTTTAGTATCRCAATAACTATATTAATATTTGTATTAATATTTTTTTATGAACGATCCCATTTCTCATTTGTAGGACGTCCGCCACCCCGTGTCACCTGGTGGCAAGAGAACGCGCTGATCGATGAGACTTTCGAAACGCTAYCTGACCGGAAGGTCAAAAATGTGTTGCGCCTTGAACGACTTGAACGCCGTCACCTCAACACCGTCTTCACWTGTCAAGCATCCAACAATCACATGGTGCCTCCCATATCCAGCTCCGTCTCGTTGGACATGATACGTGAGTACATGCATATGTGTTTTAATACAAAATTATGCAAAACAGTGGTTATTTAGGTTGAGTTGGCTTATGGTTTTGCAAATTTAATTCGTTTAAAAATATAAATTCTGTGATTGTCCAGAGAACACCGCAGGCTGATTGAGATCAACGCATATTACACGAAGAGGTCTTGAAATTCAACTAATATTTTGTTCGCTATTATACTGTGGCACAATGCACTACCTGTGTTTAAATGTTTTGTCATAAATATTTTTTCATATGCTTACCTATGCCTAACTTTAATTTTCAAAATAAAAATGACCAGTTTTTTATTTCTCACTATTAGAAGTATAATTATTATATAATGTAATATTGATACGAAAAATCTATGGAATATCGATGGCTGCTCGTTTTCTGTTTGTATTTGCAATAATAATACCTGTATGTAGATAGATTTAGACAGCRAGGCAGAAAAGCACACGGAAATTTAAAAAAAACTATGTAATTTATTTAGGCACATTATGCATGATATATTATATTCTATTTAGGTGCGGTCACATCCGATGTTCGATATTTTATATAGATTTTCTTAAATCTCTGAAAAACCGACCGAAATAATGTTATATACTATAAATAMAATAGTCGTGATGTACGTTTTAACAGTATATAATATATATTATAAATAACATATGACGTATACCACTGMTTTAACTAAACGTAATTGAATGTGGTTACGGTAGTGGTGGTTTACTTCCCACTAACCTCCCGAATTGAATTTAATATTACTATTATAGTGTAATCGATTAAAATCTAAAACGATATCGGAGACTACCTTCTGAAACGGACATTTTGTCCTGATCTGACGTAGGTTCAGACTTTGGATGGATATAAAATATAGTCAAAAATGATTTAGTATATGAGTGACTTTATGCGGTATAGTTGTCAAATTGGGCAGACACCATTCGAGTTTGTTGTAGCTATAGGTCTACTTTTTTCTTTTCTTTTTGAAATCACCTAATTCCGATCAATGAAGGTATAACCATCTCGTCCAGTTCATGTTGACACTCAACAACAGTATTGATTAAAAAAATATATATATACATACATAATATTATATTGAATAAAATTAAGTTTTTGGATCACTGTTTATGTTGATTTTTTTTTACATTCGAGATGGTTGACTAGTGAATAGTCGCAATGGTGAAAAGCAGGATGGATTACACTAATTATTTTCAGTGACCGCWTGTAATACATATAAGATATGCCAACCGTAAGAGACAACGTCAAACGATTATTATTAAGACGTTGAAGTATTGTAGACAAGTAGTATACAATATAATTACATGAAAACGGGGTCTGAGGCCTACATCGTTGTTATTCAGACTATTTGTACGGTGCATTTGCAAATATATGCACATTCACCTTTAGTAAATGTCATTTACGCATATAATATAAATAAATAAATATATATATATATATATGTATGTATATTTAGTGGCAACCTCTGAAGAAGTTGAYGATCGGCCCAAATTTAATTTGTAGCCCGTTTCTCGCCACTATCCAATTTAATTTTCGTTACGAATTATTTATGTTTCCCTTCAGCCCGATCACACGCTCAACCATCGAATTAAGCGATACGTATCGATTTATCGTGTGTTCAAGACTCCTCTAGTGTGTGTGTGTGTGTGTGTGTGTATGTGTACCACGTGCCATGTAGGTTTGAAGCGAAAAATTACTCAAATGGAATATATGAGGTCTGAATAAAAGTCAGATTATCTATTTCGACTATCCAATCACCCAAATTCGTGAGTCTAATAGGACTCTGATAACAGTGAATTTATATAATGTACGAAACGATGATATGCAAAAAACGGAAAAATATTATCTGCATAATGATTGCTACGAGTTTATGACTTAATACATTTATTTATTAAAAAAAATTAATAAGTWGATGTAAAATATTTTATTTTATTTTTGCTTTTTTTAAATCCATAGAAATGTTCAATATAAGGCTATAGTTTTTATGTTTTATTATACTATTTAATAATAATCATCAAGTATAAATTTAATCTAATTTAATTTAATTTTGAATTATAAATAATAATGTATAGCATTGTGGCTATTGTAAATTTGTGATTTGGCATTTCCATATCACCAGTGCCGTGCTAACTTTTATTAGCGATATTTGCGTCTCAGGAACCTACAATTTCGCACCTCTATTAAACAATATAATATGCATTTTAATATTGTCCACCCTTTAAAATGTTCAACTTGTGTCACCTTAGGCACTTACTCATTTGTCACCCCCTTAGCATGGCTCTGTATACAATTATTATAATACAGATATTGCAAAGTTATACGCAGTATCATGTTCATTATGTATTCAAAATTCTTAAATAAATTTACAAGTACATAAATCTTAGAATATTATAATATGATCGTAAACCATTTCACTATAATGATCTTTTTCAATACAATGATTCGTCATTTCTTCCAAACGTATTATGAAAATAGTAATTCACCAATATCATGTGATAAACAATGAGGCCAAAAAGTTACTACTCGTTGCCTGAAACTTGTGTTGCTTTTACAGCTAAATATTTCGTATAACCAACTAAAATTAGTGAATTAAACATGTTACTCACTTGTCCATATATGCCACACCATCTTCTATTCAAGTATGTTATAATTACAGAATAGCGATGTATATATTGTATCTCGGTGTATTAAAAATTCCATTTATTTTGAAAAATACAATTTGTACAGATCTTTCACTGTTCTTGGAAAGTGTTGCTAGCTTTGATTACCTTTACATTTATGTGACGATTGTTTTAATGTTTTAAATTATAATTTATTTTTTCGTTACAATCCCATCATTATTGGTGCATATCGTTAAGATTACAATAAATTGCTTTAGAACAAAATACGAATATAATATGGCATGTAATGTATTGTATAAAAATAAATTAAATTTGGTTATTATTTTTTATCTCAATATAAACTTTTAAAAAGTTTCATAAAATTCAAAATAGTTTTCTAATTTATTAACATTTGAAATATTTTAAGACCGATATTTTTTATTTATAATATCGAGTAATTATATCTATAATTTGAGTTTTATATTAATTATTAACAAAACCAGCTAGACAATAGTTCTCGGAAAAGTGATGTATAAAATTTTTTTTAGTATATTAAACTTATAAAAAAGTTCAAAATTTGATGCTCAGCATTATACTTTTAAGTATAAATAGTATAATATCTATAAACATTCATGTATATTTTTTTTTTTAGATAAATTATAAATAAAGAAAAAAATAACTTTAAAATTAAATTTTTTTTTCCATTTACAAAATAAGTTTAGTATATTGGTATACTATTGTTTTATATATTCAACTCCATAGAATTATTTTTTAGTTTCTCAATAAATTATTTGCCACAGTTAAGCTTATAATAATTAATTGACTTGATAAAATAATACACATTTTTACAAGGTAATTTGATGAAAATAAATTTTCTATAAACACACAGTATGTACTATACGAAAAAACTAATTTTTACAGTGTTGGGAAATTCAAATTATACTCTTCTCCATTATTAAAATTCAAACATTCCATTTTACGATATAGCATACATAAAAAAAAACTTAAATACGCTACCTACTAATTAAAATTAAAAAAAATAWTTACATTCAATGTTTTTATTGACTAACAGCAATGCCATAATTTAATGACAACGAATCATAATAATAAAAAATACAATCAAACCGTTTACCTAGTAGTATCCAATTAAGGACAATTTAAATAAGATATCACACATTTCATCTCCAGTTCTTTATAATTAACTTCGGTTAAATGATACCAAGAATTATAGTGTCGCTGTGACATTTTTACATTGATTATTATTTCAATGAGCTGCTTAATTATTCAAGTTCGTTACACCGTATACATAAACAAGAGGGTGGAATAGTGTTATAACAAACACAAACGAAATATTACAAAAGCGCAAAAATTAMACAATCATGACTTAAAAACACGAGAACGCTGAATCCYTCAAACCATGAAATTGACCGAGATCATGCATCAGTGCAATGACAATTTTTGGAAATTTAGTAGATAATAAATTCCCACCAGATTCATCCAGAATAATATTATGAACCTTTGCAACACTCACCGATAATGAATCGCAGGATCGCTGTTCTATTTTAGTGTATTTTTTGAAATGTGGGTAGTATGTATCTATTTCGACCTTATACTAAATCMACTATTTCATAAATTGTTTGATGATTATAAGATGCTACACGTCGTTATCATCGCCACTCAGTAGACGTCGTGTTTACTCTAGTTGAGTTTCTTTCACTAAAAAGTGTGGAAATGCACGAAAATCGAAAATGCATAGCACGTGATATAAATGATATAATATTATAATATGCATTTTCATGTTGCATGTAAACATTTGAACTGCACAGCAAGTAGCATAATCGGTGTCTATTATCACGAATTCTATTCCTGGATTTGCGCTAGATACGCTAACATTTTGATACCATGAGTTTTAAATTTGAAGTGTTGTACATTATTTATTTTTTTTTTTTTCTATAAAGTTACTAAAACTTGATATGCAAGAATTAAAAACTACGATTAATCTTACCAATAGATTATAAAAATATGGACATAACGTTTATAAGCAGTTACACCAATTATGTATAAATAATTGTACACTTATATCGAGTATGGACTAGCTATCAGTATCATGAATACAGTTATCATGTTGCATAAAAATATAACAAACTGCCTCAACTTGTTATCACTCCAAAACTCACAATAATATAGTGGTCCCAATCTTGATGGGGTATTTTTATCAACTACAACTTMAAATTAATTTCCAGATAGTCTGTGAGTTATCAATAATACCTATATCTGTATAAGAGTATTTTAAGGAGTATCTTATACATTAAGATTATACATTATTATTATACATTATTATACATTATTATTCTTATACATTATCTTATACATAAGACTGCC